AAACATTTCTCTCTCTCTCTCTCTCTCACTGGGTACAGAAATAAATCTCATTCATGACAGAAGCAGGAGGGAAAGGAAAGAAGGGAGAAAAGGAAATTAGAGGGAAGGCAGATTAAAGGTAGAGTTAGCTCCAACCCAAACAACCTAAGAATGTACAAAAAAAACTGATGGCTCTTTTAGAGGTGGCAAATAATTGAGTGTCCATCAACCGAGGAATAGTTTAACAAATTATGGTATATGAATATGTGATGGTGTATTTTTGTGCTCAAGAAGTAATGAAGGGAATAATTTCAGAAAAACCTGGAAAGACTTATATTAGCTGATGCAAAGTGAAGTGAGCAGAATCAGGAGAACAATTTATACAATAACAGTAATATGGTAAAGACAAACATATATTTTTATATATATGTATATAATGTATATGTTTTTGCATATAGTACATCTCATTTTGTACTGAGAGTTTGACTTTTCTATCATGGTGGGTAGCATGTTTCATGATAAATCTTTGGAATTTTGGTGGGTCATTATGCTGATCAGAATTCCAAATCTTTAAAGTTGTTTGCCTTTACCATATTGTTGTCATCGTAGAAATTGTCCTCCTGATTCTGTTCACTTCACTTTGCATCAGTTCATAGAAGTCTTCCCAGGTTTCAATGAAATCATCCCCTTCATCATTTCTTACAACACAATAGTATTCCATCACATTTACATACCATGATTTGTTCAGTCATTTCCCAATTGATGATTACCTCTTCATTTTCCAATTCTTTACTCCATCAAGAACAGCTATAAATACTTTTGTACCCCCATGGGTAGAATTTCTTTTGCTTAGGACTAGTCTGTCTCTTAATGTACTCTCATTCTTTTTTTTGTGAGACATTTGGGGTTAAGTGACTTGCCCAGAGTCACACAGCTAGTGAGTGTTATGTGTCTGAGGCTGGATTTGAACTCAAGTCCTCCTGACTCCAGAGCCAGTGCTCTATCCACTGTGCCACCTCGCTGCCCCTTATACTCTCCTTCTAATTCCTTCCTCTCCCTTATCATCTTTCCCTTCCTGTTGAATGAAATGTATTTCTGTACACTACTCTGTGCATGCCTGTGTGTGTGTGTGAACATGTGTATTCTTCCCTCCTTCTAGGAATTTTGTCTAATTAGATTTTCTCCTTGATCTGTCTTCCAAGTCAGTTTTTTCTTGTTACATTTTTTCTGTTTTTTCCAGTCTTTTGACTTTGTTTTAATATTTTTGATGGTTTCAAAAAATCATTGGCTTCTATTTGGTCTATTCTATTCTATTTTTATTTTTTTTTTAGTTTAGGCAATGTTTTGCAGCTCTTGTGCCAAACTGCTAATTCCCTTTTCAATTCTTTCTTTCATAACTCTCATTTCTCTTCTAATTTTTTCCTCTAGTGTTCTCATTTCTTTGATATCTTTAACTCTTTAAAAAATACCTTTTGCTTCAACTCTTACAGGACTTCTAGTTGAATTTGTGGCCAAGTTGTGTTTCCCCTTGAGACTATACTTGTAGGTGTTTTGTAGTCATCCTCTTCTTCTGGGATTGTATCTGGAGTATCCTTGTCACCATGATAGCTTTTTATGGTGGGATTATGTTTTTGCTTGCTCATTTTTTCAACCTACTTCTTCACTTTGAACTTGATGTGAAGGGTGGATTCTGTATACTTCTGAAGGAAAGTATACTTCTGTATACTTCTGGGCTAGTCCTGCTGCTACTTTCTTGGGAGTATTGAATGTTAAATTATTCCAGGACCTCAGGGACACGCTGGGGACCTGCAGGCTTTCAGTACTGCTATAGCAGTCTGATCCAGGGTAAAGTCTGATCACTATCCCCTGGGCTGAGCTCTGCACATGTCTGACCTGGGTTTGGGTCTGAGCGATAGTAAACTGCTGCTGTATTCAGCCCCCATTAGCCAGCTGGGGAGTTCTGTTGCTTTAGAATGACAGACCCTATCATCTCCCCTTTGGTCTGCGATTCCTGAGCTGGTTATTCCTTTGCAGTCTTCAGACTAGGCTAGAAACTGGAACAGAGATGCCTCTTTTCTCAAGGTCTGAGCCGCACTGGTGCTTGCTTCTGAGCTTGAATTCCACAACTCAGTCCCTGCTGTGGCTCCTCACCCTTGACTGCCCCACCCCAACCTGGGCACAGGTCACCTTCTCAGTCTGCCTTGGATCTATGACCTAGAACTGGTTAGTCAACCACAAAGCTGCCGGTTCCCGGCACAACGTCTTGGCGTCCTGATGTGAGTCCTCTTTCCAAGGTCCTGGAGTGCTCTCTGGAGAATACCATTGGCAAGACTCCATCACCGGGGCCTGCAGAGCTCTTTATCTCCCTGTGCTGATCCGGAGTGGAGAAGTGACACCCTTTGATTTTTTCTTGGGTTTCCCCATCAGGATTCAGTCTGGCACATTATCTAAATATGTTTGGGGGAGTTTGGAAGGGGGGTCAAGGTGCTTGTTGTACTTCTTCCTCATACTCTGCCATCTTGTTTTTGCCCCCAGCCCTCCTTAGCCTTAATGCCTCCCCTCTGAAATGATCTCTACTTTATCTTGCATACATCTTACTGGCACATAGCTTTTTGCATGTCATTAGACAATAAGCTCCTCGAGGGCAACACCTTTCTGCACATCCCCTATCACTAGCATGGTGTCTGGCACATCAAATGAGATATTGGTAAAAGTGCTTAGCACGGTGCCTGGCACTTAGTAGGTGCTATATAAATGTGTATTTCCTCCCCCTGGTACGTAGTAGGCACTTAATAAATGCTTGTTGAATGACAGTTCCACTGATGTGTCAAAAGCCTCCCTGAAGGGAATAAGGACAGGACATTTGTATCTCTTGCTCATGCTTTATCGATGATTAAAATGTTCCCTATTTGATTGGCAAAGATGGCAGGAAAATACCCTACTTCCAGAAAAGTAGGGTATTTTCTGCCAAAACACACATGGAAGGAATCATGTTTGTGCTGTGGAAGACACATGTCCTCATGTTGGAGGAGCCAAAATGAAGCCAACTTTCTCCCATGGTGCAGGGGTTGCCAGTTTTCCCCTGACTTTGCTCCAGGGTTTGCCTTTTTTTTGGTAAATTTTTTTGTTTTAAACTTAAATACAAAATGAGAAAAGAAAAAAAGAAAACATTGCCACATGCACAGAAGAGGATTCAATACAAAACAATAAATTTCCATTTCAAGAAAACCTATATGATAAATACTACACATTGTTTTCAAAGTTGCCCAGCTTTTCTTTGCTTCCTTGTTGGTTTTCTTTTGTTCTCTGCTGTGCACTTTTTACTTTATTTTTTTCTCTTCCTCCCCCCCCCCAAAGAAGGCTACAATTAAGCATGGATATATATATATATATATATATGTATGTATGTATGTAAATACACGTATCAGGGTTTGCCTTTTAAGGAATCTTTTGGAGGCTCTAGCAGGTAGTGAGCCCTAGACCACCCAGGTAATCTGTGGCAGAGGAGGATGTTAGTAGGGGGGAAGCATTCACCCATCTTAACATTCCCTGCCAGGAAAGATGAAGGCTCTCCCTGATGCCCCACTTTTATTCCTACCTATAGGTAGTCATTGGTGTCATTGGCTCATCCCCTCCTGGTACCTGGTTGTGTGGATATGAACTCACAGGACCCTCTCTTGGAGTGGTCCAGTTACTTTCCCTTCCCTGCCTTCCTGTTACCTCCTTCTCCAGCCTCACCCTCCTGATTTGGGCCTGACCATTGCCCCCAGTGGGATCTTGGGAAAGTCCATTGGGAAAGTTTCTGGGCCCCAATTTCCCCATCTGTAGAATGAGAGGCTTGGACTGGCTTGGCTCTCAATACTACAGCATTTTGTCCTCTGCAGTTCTTGTTTAGGAAATTCCCCTTCCAAGGGCTTGGCTGCTAATCATAAATCCTGAATTTGCCCCAAGGTGCTGGTGACTTGAGTTGCCCTGAGTCTGGGGAGGATAGAGGAAGAGAGGACCCCTGTATTTAAATATATTTTAACCAAATAAAAGCATCATTTCATTTTTTAAAAAGGAAATATGTTTACATTCTAAAAATTCTGTAAAGTATAGAAAGAAGAAGAAGGAAACAAGGATTTATTAAGCTCTTCCTATGTTCCAGGCACTGTGCTAAGCACTTTACAAAGACCCTATGACCTTCGGAAGTCACCCTATAGATAATACACATAACTACCACCTCTTTTGCCTGGTATAGGATCGACTGTCCAAGGGCTGTATTGCTCTCTCCCTGGAGCCAAGCCCAGCATGCCTGGAGAGCAGGCCCCTCCTGAAGGCATGCTTCCTTCAATCCCCAAGGCAGTATTTACTTTCCAGGGCATATGATGTACAGAGAAGGACAGAACCCAACTCAGGCATTGGGGTCCCTAGGCTGTCCTTGGCCCTGGGCATTTGTTAACACATGTCCCTACCTGGCTTACTCACTAGGCAAACTTGGGGCGGGGCAAAGGTTGTGGCTCAGTGTCTGTGTGGACTAGGAATTGGAAACTGCTTCCCCTAGGGGCCCACAAAGATGCTCCAAGCTGCCAGGCTCCCCAAGTCTGGTTTTCTTGCTGTATATGCTGACAGAGCAAGTGAACTGGGGGAGTGCTTGGGCCTCTGAGGGCAGGACCCTGCCTGGGTGGGTATGCAGGGACATGTTATGGGGTCATAGAAAGAACACAGGACTTGGGTCAGAATCCTGGCTCTCACCCTCACTACTTATGGGACCTAGGTCCAGCTCTTTCCCCTCTCTGGATTTCATTTTCCTCATATGTAAAATGGGGGGTGGCACCTAAGATGACCTCTGAGGTCCCTTCCAGCTCTCAATCATTCCTAGGCTCCTGTAAATAAGTGTTTGGTGTAGGAATGAATGAATGAATGAATGAATGAATGAATGAATGAACGAATGAATGAAAGCAGCAATCTCAGGTCAACGGGCTCACATGGAATTGTTCTGGCATTTTGGGAGTGTAACAAAAAGCGTTATGACTCTGTTGTAAACTCTGTGGTGGAAATGTTTAATCTGGAATATGGAGCATGTCACAGTAACCTGACAATTACTTGTTCGACCAACCAGAAAAGTCCTGAATTGAAACAGAAAGGGGAAAAGACTGCTAGCACGGTCAGCAGAGCTGAGGACAGCCTCCTTGTGCCAGAACGGGGAAGGCCAGTGAAGAGGTCAGTCTTGCAGCCCCTGGCCTGGGGATTGGAGACAAACCCAGAATTTCCCAGTCCTGACCAAGGAGGAAGTAGCATATGGGGCTGGATTGGTTCATAACTAGTAAGGATCCGAATGAAGACTAGAACTGGAGGGAGGGAGTCATGGAGACATTGGTTGGGCCACTTCATCTGCTTCCTTAATATCAAAGACCTCTTTGAAATCCCTCTCAAACTTTGCCTCCAACTTTGCTCCCAGATGACCAAACTGGTTGTCCTGAAAGAAAAAAAAAGCTAATGTTTACATAGCACTTTACAAATATTATCTGATTTGATCATTACAACAACCCCTGGAGATGGGTGTTATCATTATTTCCATTTTATAGATGAGGAAACTGAGGCAGGAAAAGGGTAAGTGACTTGCCCAGGCACAGTAGGTGTCTGAGGCGGGATTTGAATTCAGATCTTTCAGACTCCAGCTACCATATTCTATCAACTGTGCCACCTACGCACTAGACAAGGGACAACTGGAACGCTGATATACTGTTAGTGGAGCTGTGAATTGATCCAATCATTCTGGAAAGCAATTTGGAACTTTACCCCAAAAGTCACTAGACTGTGCATGGTTTTTGACTCAATGATGCTACTATTAGGCTAATATCAGAAAGAGATAAAGAAAGAGGAAAAGGAACTATATGTTAAAAAACATTGATAGCAGCTCTTTTTCTGCGATGGTAAAGAATTGGAAACAGAGGGAATACCCATCGGTTAGGGAAGGGCTGAATGAGTTATGGCATATGAATGTGATGAAATATTATTGCGTTGTAAGAAATAATGAATGGAATGGATTCAGAGAATTCTGGGAGGACTTCTATGAACTGACCCAGAATGAAGGCAGGAATTTATACCATAGCAACAATATTACAAAGACAAACAATGTTGAAAGACTTGAGAACTCTGATCGATGCAATGAGAATCCACAATTCCAGAGAGCTAAAGGAGTGTGTTACTCACCTCCTAACAGAGAGATGATGGGCTCAAAAGGCAAAATGAGACACATATGTTCGGATATTTGCTTAGTTGTTATAAGAGCTTTCCCTTCCTCCTTCCTTTTCTTCTTTCCTTCCTCTCTCCCTCCCTTCTTTCCTTCTTTCCTTTCTTTCCTTCTTCCTTCCTTCCTCCCTCCTTTCCTTCTTTTCTTCTTTGTTTCTTTCCTTCCTCCCTTCCTGCCTCCCTTCCTCCTTTCCTTTCCGTCTTTTTCTTTCTTTCTTTCCTTCTTTCTTTCTTTCTTTCTTTCTTTCCTTCTTTCTTTCTTTCTTTCTTTCTTTCTTTCTTTCTTTCTTTCTTTC